AGTTGGTGGGAGGAAGGAGGGAAATGGTTAATTTCTCCTTGTTTTAGATCCCAGGGGGGTTGGATCTGTATTCACCAGGGAATTGGTGAAGGTTTCTCAAGGCTTCCCAGGCATGGGAATTCTGGGGATGGTGGCAGCGGACCAGAGCTAAGCTGGTAGTTAAGCTTAGAAGTTTTCATGCAGGCCCCTACATTTGTACCCTAAAGTTCAAAGTGGGGATACAGCCTTGACAATGCTCATTTATCGATTTCACTCAGGACTAGACCATTAAAGTGATGTAGCTCTGTACAAGGCAATGGAGCTATACTAATTTACACAGGTTGAGGATCTGACCTTTAGTTTAGACAATGAAAATATGCTGGTCAGTGTTATTTTAAGTGACTTTTAATGGCAGGTTGCCATGTGTCAGCACATTGCTTGTGTTTGAGTAGCACATCCTGAAAGGAAATGCTTGTGACCAAAACAAAGAACTATTTAAATTTATATGTCAAAGGTTTTCTATTCAAATTACATGTGTACTCCTCAACCTTGTTCTTGTGAGGGTCACAATCTGTTATTTTAGCATTTTTAAAGATTGCCAAATGTATAGATTGGTAGAATGACTCAGCAGAAAAAAAATACAGGAACAGTCAGCAAGGTCTTTTCTTCAAGGGATAATGTTTACTAAAAATAAAAATAAGCAGAAAAGAAAGCAGAAAACTTGCCAGGATGGGGTTCAACCCAGTCCAAAAACCTGTGAGTGTGCAGCACAATCTTTGTAACATGAGCATTTTTTTTTCTCCTATGTTACCCAAGCAAACAATCTATAGCACTTAATTCAAACCCCTCTATAACAGGAAGGGAAACATGAGCCTAGGTTAACCCTTTTTTCACCCCTACATCCTATCACTCATTATAAAGAATCAAGAAAGCTAATCACAAATCAGGGCAGTGTGTGTCCTCCAATACATTCCCAGCACTGACTAAAATATTTTGGAATTTTTTTTCCCCCAAAAAATGAAACAGTTTTGTAGAGAGATTTATTTTTTGTTTTCTCAGATTATCACAAAATTATTATTCAAGTTACAGATTATTACTCATTAAGGGTTTTACATTGTGCTGTTGGCTACTTTGTGGGGGCAAAAATCGGTCTATAAGCACCGTCCATCAAATACAATTAATTGTGTGCTGTGTCAAATGATTCCCTGACATCCAAAAACATTATGATTGTTGTGTTGACCCTTGTCTTTCATTCACCTCTGCCCAGTCTCTGCATTGTTATTTTTAACTTCTTTTGTGGTTTCTGGGGTGACATTTAATTTAGACCCTGTATGATATCATCAACCTCATCTTTTACTTTCCATCTCATTTTCCTCTCCCATCTCTTAATGGTTTTACTTACCATCAATCTGTGTACTTTTTATGCAGTACAAATAAAATCTTTTTAATCATTATGTACTTTGCTATATTCATCTTTCCTGTTAATGTTTTAGGAGAAATTGTACCTGGCTGCTCTAACTTACACTGGGAAATTGGTCCAGCACACAGCTGGTTCAGTACTGCGGGAGTGCAAAACTGTTTAAAGCCATTTTTGCCCCATTTCCTCTTGAGCTGGGTTGTATGATCCTCAGTCACAGTCAAGGATCTGGGCCATCAATTATCATTATTAATTTGGTGCCAACAGTGCACTTGGAGCTGTACATGACAGAAAAGAAGACATGCTCCCTGA